ACGACTCCTAGGACCGGTTCAGACGTCTCCTGCCGCCGGGCTCCCAGCGCAGTGCGCTAACCGCTGCGCCACCGCTCCCCAAACCACTACAGTCTATCGTCTGGACCTCATTTGTTGTGAAGTATAGGTTAGAAGCTGACAACTTACCTTGATTTGTTTAATTACACAAGTACTGTATGTTGTATTGATATGCATTGTACTTGTAGAGGAGTAACATTATTTCAGCAGCTTGCATTTGCATGGCTGCTGTGTGTGTGTGTGCAACTCCTGTGCCTCAACACACTCACACACACACTCTCACACACACACTCACACACACTCACGCACTCACACACTCTCACACACTCACGCACACACTCACACCCACGTACACCCACACACTCACACACACTCACGCACACTCACACACACCCACACACTCACACACTCACACACACTCACACACTCACACACACTCACGCACACACTCACACACCAACACACACCCACACACATTCACACACTAACGCACACACTCACACACACACTCACACACACTCACGCACACACTCACACACACCCACACACTCACACACCCCCACACACTCACACACACTCACTCACATACACACACATCCACACACTCACGCACACTCACGCACACACTCACACACTCACACACACACCAACACACATCCACACACTCACACACACTCACTCACACACACTCACACACACTCACGCACACACCAACATACACCCACACACACACCAACACACACCCACACACACTCACGCGCGTTATCTGCTGCTGCTGCGTTGGCGGTGGTCCAGAAAGCACAAATAACCAGCAACAAAAACCCTCAATACATTCGTCAATAATACTGCCTTAAAAGTAGAACAAAAATATATATAACACGTGACATTCCGTGCGCTCGTCCTTCTTGATAGCTCGGAGAAGAGCCATTGACCGAAACGTCGCCTCATATATACTTTTCCTTTCAAGGCAGTGTTAGTGACTCGTGTGCTGCGTTTTGTATTAAACACACACACAACACACAACAGGCCTGTTCCGGGTAATCCGTTACATGTGGTGCACGATGTTTTATTGTTTTTCATTCCGCAATTAAAGGGACAAAATGGTGTTGCCACGATTTGTCTCGACTTCGGTGCATGGAGTCTCTGGCAGGCAGCACGTGAGCACAGCGCCATAGAAGCCAGCGTCCACAGTGGCTATGGAACGCCATTCATCATGACACTGCGTTGACACTTGTGCATAGGCGCAGATAACAAAACCTCAACACACTCGTGAACATTCGTTTGATGTGCTGTGAAGAAGAGCCATTGCCCCAAAACCGTTGTCTATGATATACGTTTCCTTTCAAGGCAGTGTCATCGACGAACGTGGCTAGTTGTATTGTTCACTGGCAATGACGCCTTTTGGCGTCATCTGGTCGAGCACCAATTGGGTCGAGGCTCAAAAGAAAGCCGTCCCTTGGTGTGGACCAATCAGTTTCAAGGACAATGCATATATTATCATAGTATGTTTTTTTGTCTGCATTTTGACTGCAGGTATTGTGGTTAATGCAGACATGAATCCTGGTAAAAAGGTTTCAGTTTTGTTGCCAGAAAAAAGGGGAAAAACCTTCTTAATATACATATAATTGGCAACGTTTCGGACATTGGCCGGTCTTCAAATTGCATTGCTTCCACGTGTGATTTACACACACTGTGAGAATGTACGATTACCCTCCCTCGTACTTGCGTGTTGTTTGGGCTCCTTGTACTCTTGTAGTGTGCATTTCCTTCGTTATACTGACCACGTGGAACCGACAGGGTTGTGTATAGTGTCCGGGAACCTTGTGGAGGCATTCCTCTCATTGTTGATTCAAAAATAAACCTCCACGGGACCCGAGCTATGTGGCTGTGTACCCAAACGTACGCGTGCAAATGTGAACTGATTTCACGTATGAACTCTTAAGGTAATTACACAAGTGATAACTACTTCAGATGAATGGAGAACATAAAAAATCAGCCATGGTCAATTCACTGCTAGATAAAGGTCACCCCATGCCACCGCCATATCCTATGCGCCTGCGATGCAATTATCCACGTAGCACATGAGCTGATTTCATTACTCTCTCATCGGTGGACTTCCTTTTGGATGTGTGACGCCCCTGGCTTGCCAGTCCATCATTATTCTTGACCATCTGCCACTGTCCCTTCTAAGGACGTACCCTGCCTAAGTCCACTTACTTTTCTGAAAGAGAAACATACTTTCCACTGGCACCAGTAACATTTAACATTAGAGATAAGAGCAGGCCAACTTTGAATGTTGATTCTTCCAACGACTATAACACTAAACTACTAAACTATCTTTTTTTTTACCAGGTAAGGTCCACTGAGCCAATAGATATTTTTTTAGAAGTGACCTGGCCACAAATAATAGCTCAACGATGTGGCTTATCAAGTGGAAAGTTATAGCAGCCAAATATTATAATTATGGAGTAAAATTATGTTGGACAGTTCTTGTCATGTTTTTTCTTAGCAATCTTTAACAATTTCTTAGGTGCACAAGCAAATTTCTGAAGTGTTAAATTAAAAACGAACGGTTCATGTACAGGGATGTTTAACATTCGTATTATCAGTGGGGGCGGGGGTATTACATTAGAGGATTTGAAGCTGACGATTTACACGAGGAGTTTAGTGGCAGAGGTTTTCCATTAGCTGTCCAGCTTTGAGTCAATTAGCCAGGGTAAGTGTCAGTGTCCACATGATTAAGAACGCAGGGTTTTACATGACGTAGGGGAGATTTGTGCTGAACAAGTAAGGAAAGGCGTAAGCCAGGATTGGGACAATGTCATTTAAACCCAAAATACACTCCTCATGACAACGGGCTCTTATCTGGTCGTAAGTAAATGTCACCTCTCCAAGGGCAAAGGTGGTGCCCTGCAATTGCTTGCTCACGCCACTGCTGTCAGAAGAGCCTGCACTAGATAGGAGCTGAAAGGGCCCCCTCGAGTGTATGTTGGCCCACTTTTCAACGTTGGCCAGACGTCCTGGAAGTGGTGGGAGTACCCACACTTTACCCCACCACACGTGACCTGTGACTCGACTAACTTGCGTTGTCCGAGCAGTCTTATACTCGTCAACTACGCCAGGCATGGAGAATTAAACACGAAAGGCAGTTATACAAATGTTTGAATTGAGACCCGCGTTAACACAATTTGGGGTTTATTAAAAAAAAACTGACCAGATAGAATTTTAAACGACTCTCACACTTTACTGTGGCCACCATGTAGGGCAATGTGAACTACATTTTGTTTGAATATTTATTGTCTCAATATGCTATAAATATATATATATATAAATATTTCTGTCCTGCATAGCAGCTTGAGATGCTGAATGTTCGATAAAGGTGGTAAAGGTGCATCCCTGCAATTTCTTGCTCACAGTACTGCTGGGCGAATGGTCTCGATTCGAGGCAGCTTTAGAGCAGTTGGTTCCCAACCTTCCTGCACTCAAGGACCCCACAGTTAACCCTCAACAAATACATTCGCAGATTTACCACGCAGTAAAATAGCTGGCATTTTGCGAATAATAAAAGCATCTGCAACTTCCCATGGCCACCAGCGGTCCACGGACCAACATGTTGGAAGCCACCGATCTAGAGGCTCTCTTGGCCTACTCTTCCACGCTGGCCAGACGCCTTCGAAGAGGTGGCTGTACCCACACTTGACGCCACGACAGGCGGCCAGCTTGTCGACTAACTGTGGCATACCCATGTATATACTGCCGGGGGAAAAAGGAAAGTGCATGTAAGAAACTTGCACCTATACTTCAACTGCCATGCCCGGAGATTGAATTGTACCGGCGACCTCTGGATAGCAAGCTCATTGTGCTAACCACTACTCCATGGCAGCATCCATTGTATTATTTTATTACTCAATATAAAACTCCCTGATTGATATTAGTCGTATACAGTTTGGTACTTTAATAGCTGCATGTGTTCACTCCAGTTTAAACTACACGACTAGTGGAAGTTCGACAGTTCGTTGGCAGTGGGCAGTTGAAACAGTCTCTGTCATTGCACGGAGCCAGTCTGTGGACTGGAATAGCAGCTTTTGAAGCCATAGGCATACAGGGCAGCCAGCAAGCAATAGAATAGCCCATTCAATAAAAATCAAAGCCTGGCTATTGCGCAAGCTCTGCAAAAATGATGTTACTCTGGGAAGTTAGTGTAGGTCTCTTAAAATAAATAATGGGAGAGTCAACGCATTTCTTGACATTAAATTAAACGAAATAATAGTAAGTCATTATGGCTCCATGAATCATGTCTCCACACTTGTGCCACGCTTCCCTTTATTAATGGGTTTTTTTCACTGTTGTGTTTAATATGATGTGAAGAAGAACCCCCCCCCACACCGCTCCGCTTGTGCGGACGTGACGTGATCCAGCTGGAGAGCTTTCTCCGATGTCACAAAGGGGTTTGCGTTCGAGCTGCCTTCACGAACTTTGGCCGCGAGCTACCAGAATTGTGCCTCTTCACTTCCGCCGAAGAGCGCCTCGTCCGGAGTAACTGGAATTATTTAAGTTCGTCGGACAATGCGTACACATGCCGATAGTCCTATACGCACGTGACGAATAGTCGAAATGTTTTGAGAATTGGGTTATTAATAGGTGCTCACGTTAAATGCTTCTAGTCACCGCTTACATTAATCCACTTGTAGGACGATGTTAGCGTAACTTCGTTTTAGGCACTGCGTTCTCAAGACACATTCCCTGTGCACTGTGTGTAAAAACCCAGTATACATATGTATATATGTATACCGTATAAAGCTTGGAAGGATTGCACATAGTAGTAATGCTTGCACTTTCCAAATGCACACTCGCTCGCAGTCCCTTCACAACCACCTCATTCCTCTTCCGTCAGGTCGCACGCATTGTGACGTTTTGCACAATAAAATGTACAAAATTTTGCAAGAAAAAAGGAGCGCCACCGATCAAATGCGAAGACAGAATTTTTTTTTTCTAATCAAACTGTATTGTTCTCTGTCCTTGAAAATGTCAAATGACTTTCAAAAGAATGGAAACACCGCACACTGTAAGTACTCTGGATCCAGGCACCAATCCGTGCAATCGCAGCAAACCACGTGCTGCTACTTACACCATATAAATTAAGGGCAAAGAAGCAGGGGTCACGAAGGAAGCGGCACATTTGTCAGACTGCCGCGATGCCTTTCACGTGCTATTTACACAATATTTACGCCGTCCAGAAGAGTTGTGAATACCTTTTTCATATATAGATTACTTAAATACAGTAGAACTAAACCATAGCTTACGGGCATATATCACGTTCAGACTGCTTTTTTCCTTTCCTCTTTAAACATGTACTATAAATACAAACGTCTATGTTCTAAGCATCGATTATAACAATAATAAATATTCAAAGTTATTGTATAACAATTTAGCTATTTACAACTCACGTTTCTCTCTTTTTTACATTAGCTGTACAGTTTTAATAACAAATCCGCTGATACGTTCACTATCAACATATTTGTCATTCGGCTTCCAACAGTAGACACAGACAATAACATATATTCTATATATATTTGCTTTCCATGATCCGACACTGTTTACGAGAAATGAGTACAGTCCACCTTGGAACAAGGCCACAGATGAGAAGTTATTGCCAATTGAATGGCTTTTCCTGTTGACATTATATAGAGACACGCAGCTACACATTTCGTGGTATCGTAGTTGCTTTTTAGGATTCTTTCAAGCACCGATATGCACGGTCGAATATCCTTTTGTGCTTTTCATAAGCGGTGCTGCCGCAGACAAGGAAAAACTTCCACTTTGTGATGAAACAGCTCTTAAGGTCTATATATTATCATATTTATATATGTGCAATTTTTTTTATTGTATGTGGATACCGTACACGCATCCGTACGTAAACCTCGCGCTTCGTGCGAGCGTGCGTGCGTACGTGCACCACACGTGTACAGGTCGGCACGTACCACACCCTCTCTGCTCCGGGCCGGAGCTAACCGGTACTTTCGGCACCTATTGACACCAGTTTCCCGCTCCTGAACCGGCGATTATATACACACACACACCGTTCGTAAAAGCCCCACGGCTGGCGCGAAGGGCAAAGGCACTTGAACACAGAAGAAAGTTCTACCACCAGCGACGACGGCCGCTTGCAGAGTCACCGCGGCACTCGCTAGCGGCACCCGCAGCCCTCCACCACCATGTCCTGGTAATTCTTGAGCACCACCTTCTCGTACTCGTCCAGGTACAGCAGCGCGATCGGCGTCAGCTCCGTGGGGATGCAGCACGCGCGCGGCACCTCGGGATTCACCGAGTTGACGAGCGTCTGCACGATCGCGTGGTTCGTGGAGTTGAGGTGCTGCGGCAGCGGGAAGTGGCACTCGCCCTGGCAGAAAAAGGCGTTGTATCCTGGCGGCGCGACGATCCAGTCGTTCCAGCCCACGTCGCTGAAGTCCACGTACAGAGGGTAGCGGGCGCACTGCCCTCGACCCCTACGGCCTCCCTTGTTGGGCCGCGAGTTGCGCTTGGGGCGCGGCCTCAGCAGCGTCCCCTCGTCCCTCGTTTTCCCGTCGTGGCCGAACGTCACCAGCAGAGGCCTGAGCTGCGGCCAGCCCTCCCCTCCGTCGCCCCCTTCGCTGGCGCCGTCCCGGGCGGCCGCCGCCACCGCCTCGGCGTGCAGCGACCTGCCGATGCGCACGTGCCGCCTCTTCTCGGGCGTGCCTCCGTCAAGGTGCTGCACCTCCACCAGCAGGCCGTGGTTGGGCTCTTTCGTGGCGGCCCAGCGCACCGCGGCGGGGCTCACGTCAAAGCGCTCCCACTCGCTGCGGCCGGAGTGCACCACCCGCGTGTCCAGGAGGCGGGCGATGGGCGTCCCGTCGGCGGCCGCGGGCCGCAGCACCTCGTACACGTTGATGCGGTGGAGGCCGGCGCTCGCGGGGCTGCTCAGGCGCTCGCGGTAGACGTGCAGCTCCGCCGAGGTGATCACCTCGCCGTCGGGGATGCTGCTGACGTTGAACAGCAGCCGCCGTGCCGTGCTGTCGCCCGAGTCGGCCGGCACGTGCTCCGCGGACTCTGCCGGTGGGGGTCGCAGCACGAGCAGGGTGTCAATGCCGACGTCTCGCGGTGGCGTTCGCCCAACAGAGATTTAGTCACGCTGCGTTTATGAGCAAATATCTATGGGCCTTTCGGTTCATGGCGAGGTGCATTTAAAGAGCTCGCAGGCCACCGCTGGGCAGGAACAGGCAAGGGAAGGGAGGAATGGAAGAAAATGGTGTTTGACTAGTAGCGGGAAGATACAGGCTGACAACAACAACAACAACATCAAGGGCCCAATTTGTTTGGAGGGCATTTCCCATTAACATTGAGCAGATAATTAACACATTCCTGTGATTTCTGAAGATATTTGCTATTTTTATGTGAAATATGATCAGAAACTGCCTTCCTGCCAATGTTTCAGTCAGGACCTATAAATATTGTTAAGTTCATACACGAGAAGCAAGCGAGACAAATGATTGTCAAATTTTAAAGAAATGTATATTCTTGGTTCTTTCAGTAAAGTAACGTGGAAGGGAAATAATAAAATAATAAAAATTAAACAATACAATTCCCTTCTACGTGACTTTACCGAAACAACCAAGAATATGAATCCCTGCAGTCACGAAAGCTTTAAATCGAAAAATATATCTGATTGTGCGATTATTCAAGCCCGGGAAGATTACTGCTAAAATAGACTTCTGGCCTCTATGGGCTCATATCTGCTCATAAATATACTTTTACTAAAATGAGCACTACTTGAGAAACTAGGAGCATTAAACATCCCAATAACAATTATTGAAAACATTTAAGGAAGGAAACTATCGTTTTAAAGTAGTTATATTTTTCCAGACTTGGTACAAAATGTATAAACTGTACAATGCTAAATCAGAGGCAAGATATAAAATAAGCCACGCAATATTATTATTGGGTGCAGTGTAATGTCATTGTAAAATAGTTATGGACTATATTACACACAACTAATTAAAACATGAAAAAAATGTTTTTATTCTCATCAGGCCCCATGGTGTATAGTGCAGGCTCAAACTGTTATCCACTCTCTCTCTCTGGCCTCTCTATTTATGAGCTGCACAGAAATCTTGCCGATCATATCTTTTTTCCTTGACGGTTTTTTTGTTTTTACAATGAATGCTTTCACAAATCTGCAGTATTCCATCTCATGCATAATTGGACAAAATGAGATGTGGAAAACAGCACTGCATATGTACACGTACGTGCACAGAGATAGACGGACGTGTATACATATTTGTGTAAATACATATGAATGCATCATAATGTATATATACAAACATACCTTATCACAGAAAAAAACTAGATCGTGGGTTATTTTTTTCGGTAAAGGCCCTTATTCAGAGGACAGAGAGCAGGTTTTCTAATACCAATGCTCTCACATGAATACTGTAGAGGTGCAAGGTTCTGTCCTGTCGTGTTAAAAAGACGCATCATGTCGCTTTTTGATCGTTCATCGTGGAGGTTCAAAAGTACCTACGGCTCAGGTGAGGAATTGTAAGAGGAAACTTTTTTTATTGGTTATGCGAAAATAATGCGAGATTGTTTCTGTCACTGAGAGGATTGAAAGTAATAAGGCGTGCATTCCCACTTGTATACGCATCTAATTTAAAATGTGAAAATCCAACGTGTTAAACTGACAGGAATCTTATCGGTGACCCACGTTAATTGGAACTCACGATCTTCGTAATTGCGTACATTTTCCGAAGAAGCAGCTGGGAAATTTCCAGACCGACGGTCAACCATTTGAATGTTGCTCACTTATAAGACCGCCAATCACTTTGGCGAGCCCACTTCGATCCGTGCGAGCGCCCGCTCCGACCAAACGCAGAACAAACGCCGTGGCTCAGCTGCGGCTCACCGTCGTGATGGAAGCTGCGCACGGTGTTGGCCTGGCTCGCGGGCCGCGCCACCAAACGGTCCAGGGGCCGTCCCACGTCACGGGCCCCACTGTGGGCCCCGTGCAGGGCCCGGTACAGCTGCAGCATGTACGGTGGCACCACGGCGCCGGGCCCCGGGCGAGGCCGCCTCTGCAGCCCGAACATGCCGAGCAGCTGGCCCTCGACGTGCCGCGTGAGGCCGTGCGGCGGCGTGGCGCGCCCTCGGGCCAGCGCGTCGCCGTCATCGCTCGTGGCGCCCGGAGGCGGTGGCGGCCTCCTGCCGCTTTCGCTCTCGGCCGGGAAGCAAAGGGCTACGAGCAGAAGCATCAGCAGCGGCCTACCAGGCGGCATCGTGTGCTTTCTGCGGGGGGGGGGGGGGGGGGGCAGAAGAGAGGACATTCGTGCCACGGTTGTATGTTGTTTGTCGCTGTCGTTGAGGGCGGTTCTCAAAGGCCCAAAAATGTCAAGCGGCCCGCGACGGTAAGCACTGTTTGAAGGCGCAACAGATAAGGGGTGAAACATTTCTCGAATTTCGCAAGGTTATTGAAAACTCGATGCGTGGGCATTCCAAAGTGGAGCTGTGAGAGGAAAGAAGCAAAGTTTTGACCTGCGGTGTGGTTCGTCTCAATGGGTGTCTGCCTTTGTTGAACATTTTTTCTCCTCATTATTATTATTATTCGTTACCATTCCACAATATTTCCCTACCACCACCACTCGCCAAACACCATCCACCCGTCCACTACGACCACCCACAAACCAACAGAGTTCGACTCCCGATTTCTCTCAACGGGTGGGTTCTAGGAATGGGGGGGGGGGGGGGTCTGATTTTAATTACAGACTTCCATCCCTGTTTACCTGACCGATAAACCACAATGCCTTGGGATTAGAAACTGAGGGAAAACAGAAGGGCGGGAAAAATAGAAAAAAGCATCCTTAATTTAAATGACATTTGCCTCTCTGCCTGCAACCCCACCCCGTATTTGCATTACAACCATCAGCTACAGAAAACTCCAAATTGGCGCACGTTTCAATGGGGTTCTGCAGTGTAGTGGATCTTTACCCCCCCCCCCCACACACCACGAAACTAAGCACAAGATTAGCGGCCGGCCACAAACAAATGAATGTGCACAATACCCACGTATACTTGAGTCTTTTAATAAGCGCTACACATACCAGCTTGAGGCCTGAATAAGTCACTCTTAAAGACCACTTTTGCATGGCACAGGATGTAAAGGTGCCTTCTTCCTTCTATAAGGCTCCCCACTAGCCCACATTGTTATATAAAGCACATTCACAAGAGTGACCAGTGTGTGTGTGTATTTCTGATAATTATCCCGTGCTAAACAAAAGCCACTTCACACGAGTGTTCGTATAGTATGACAAGCTAAACAAGGAGCTCCCCCCACCCCCACCTCCATTCTATTATCCTCCGCTCTCTTTTAAGAGTCACCGCCGTGGTAATTTCCAACAATGGTCTCAGTCACTTTCCGAACGGAACTCGCTCGGCCGAGTTGGGCTCGGTGGAGGTGCCGTCCCAACGCACACGCACGAAGCAGCAGCAGAGGCAGCAGAAGCACAGCGGGAGGCGACATGGGGAGCATGGTATAGAGCAGAGAGATGAGAACTGAAGGGTTGTACTCACTGATAGTACGCATGCAAGTCGGCCAATATAGTCCATGTTTCTGCGGCAGCTTAGGTGAGGCTGTTTTTGCCGTAAGCACTCACAGCGGTTGCCATTGCAAACCTGCCCAGTGGGAACGTCTCCTCCGTTTATATAGCAGGGCGGGGGAGGTAGGGGATGAGAGCGCGGAGGGTAGGAGGAGTTGTCGAGGTTGGAGAGGAGGAAGGGGTGTGGGGGTAACGTTGGGGATGGGGACATGGGTTGTTTTGTGGGGGTTGTGGAGGATGGGGTGGGGGGCTGGCTCCGTTTGAATCGGGGAGTCCGGCCGCCCTCTATTCGGCGTCGCGTGCTAAGATGGTGGTGGGCCTCGAGTGGCGTCTTCCTCGAACAGGTCCCACGCGCAGCCCTGGAGTATTCGCACGCACGCGCGCGCACGCACGCGCACGTACGCGCGTGCGTGCGTGCGCGCGTGCGGTTCGAGAGGAACACCCCGAGCCATTCAGCACCAGGGAAAAGGTGAAATATGACCACGGAGAACGAACTCCCAAAGATGTATCATCGCCGTCCTAATCGGCAGAGTGTTTACGAGAGAAATCTTAAACGATGATGACGGCGCTCTGTTGTGTTTCTGTCACTGCCCTCGTGCTGAAATGCACACACGTGACATTTTTACCCTTTTGCCAAAAAAACGCCGCGACCTTTGACACGATTATCTTGATGCATTCCATCACGTATTTCATTTAAAAAAAAGTGTGCTCCACATACGTGAATTTGCCTCCGAAGCAAGTCTTAAATGACCGCGTCACTCGTTCTGCCCACCTGAGCCCCAAGCTACGAAGCGCCTTCTTCCGCAGGCGGAGTTTCTTCCCCCCACCCCCACCGCGAAAAGATAGCAGCAAGCATCTTTTGGTTTCAGATAAATCTCAACGTCTTAATCAAACCTCGTTCAGCACAAACACGCACCGCGCAGGTACAGGACAAAACCAAACAAAGCGACACGTCAAACAAGTGACTTGGGTTCTCATTGTAAATCCATTTTAACACTCCATAAGGAGTGATAAACCCATGGGTTACGTGCAGGCTGGACACAAACAAGATTCATACTAAAACACGCAAAAGACCTACGGCCACAATCGCGCATTTTGCTGTCTAGAAGTCACCTTTTGCGTGTGTTATTAGTCTGGGTTTCTCTCTGCCTGCAGGCCTAGCGCAAGGTATGTGTCTGTGATCCCGTAACTATAAACCTCAGGGCAAAATTGTTTGCCCAAAGCAAATAATTAACGGTCAGCACACTGACCACTGCTATGTCTCTGCGACTCATTAAGCTGAGTGAGGACAATTACAAGGTGCCTGATCATTGCTGAGGTCTTGGAGCAAGCTGCGTCGAACACTGCAGAGGGAGGCCCAGCGCCACACGGCGACACTGACAGCAGGGGACGTGAATGTTCGTCGAGGCAAAGTGGTCACGCCATACGAACCGCCATATATGATGCGTCCAGTGGAACTCCTCTTATCCACAATGATGTGGGGGATGAACGTCGCCGACCCAATTGTCTGCGGTGTTACCCGGTGTGTTCACTCCAGTTATCTGCAGAAAAAGAAACTGAGGCTGATCGCCGATAATATCAAGCATAGGCCCACAGTTAAGAGTTTACACAGACTCTTATGCTCCCACGGATACTAGGAGTCTCAGCTAATAGGGTCGCGAATAAGAGTTCTACTGTATTTGGGAGGTTACGATGCATTGACTCATGCAATCGAATCTCCTATGTAAGAGCCGGTGTTTTTTTTTTAAATCTGTATACGTTGTGTGTAATGTGTTCATAAAAACCCATTCACCAGCTACAGACGCTACCATTGACTGGGATGTAAAAATACCTAGTCTGGAATCTATTTGTGACTGATACGCAACAATTCATTGAATCACTGGGGGGGGGGGGGGGGGGGGCGAGAAGAGATCGGGGAGGTGGGGGGGTGTGAATCGATCGTTACATCTCTTATGAACATGGTGGAGGAGGAGTGGAGACTGCCTTAGACTAGAACAGGAACAATGTGGATTAGCCGAACACCTACACCCAATACAGTGAGGGAAAAAAAGTATTTGTTCCCCTGCTGATTTTATATGTTTGCCCACTGACTAAGAAATGATCAGTCTGTAATTTTAATGGTAGGTTTATTTGAACAGTGAGAGACAGAATAACAACAAAAAAATCCAGAAAAACGCATGTCAAAAGTTTTATAAATTGATTTGCATTTCAATGAAGGAAATAAGTATTTGACCTCCTCTCAATCAGAAAGATTTCTGGCTCCCAGGTGTCTTTATTACAGGTAACGAGCTGAGATTAGGAGCACACTCTTAAAGGGAGTGCTCCTAATCTCAGCTTATTGCCTGTATAAAACACCTGTCCACAGAAGCAATAAATCAATCAGATTCCAAACTCTCCACCATGGCCAAGACCAAAGAGCTCTCCGAGGATGTCAGGGACAAGATTATCGACCTACACAAGGCTGAAATGGGCTACAAGACCATTGCCAAGCAGCTTGGTGAGAAGGTGACAACAGTTTGTGCGATTATTCGCAAATGGAAGAAACACAAAAGAACTGTCAATCTCCCTCGGCCTGGGGCTCCATGCAAGATCTCACCTCGTGGAGTTGCAATGATCATGAGAACGGTGAGGAATCAGCCCAGAAACTACACAGGAGGATCTTGTCAATGATCTCAAGGCAGCTGGGACCATAGTCACCAAGAAAACAATTGGTAACACACTACACCATGAAGGACTGAAATCCGCAGTGCCCGCAAGGTCCCCCTGCTCAAGAAAGCACATATACATGCCCGTCTGAAGTTTGCCAATGAACACCTGAATGATTCAGAGGACAACTGGGTGAAAGTGTTGTGGTCAGATGATACCAAAATGGAACTCTTTGGCATCAACTCAACTCACCGTGTTTGGAGGAGGAGGAATGCTGCCTATGACCGTCAAATATGGAGGTGTAAACATTATGCTTTGGGGGTGTTTTTCTGCTAAGGGGACAGGACAACTTCACCACATCAAAAGGACGATGGACGGGGCCATGTACCGTCAAATCTTGGGTGAGACCCTCCTTCCCTCAGCCAGGGCATTGAAAATGGGTCGTGGATGGGTATTCCAGCATGACAATGACCCAAAACACACGGCCAAGGCAACAAAGGAGTCGCTCAAGAAGAAGCACATTGAGGTCATGGAGTGGCCTAGCCAGTCGCCAGACCTTAATCCTATAGAAAATCTGTGGAGGGAGCTGAAGGTTCGATTTGCCAAACGTCAGCCTCGAAACCTTAATGACTTGGAGAAGATCTGCAAAGAGGAGTGGGACAAAATTCCTCCTGAGATGTGTGCAAACCTGGTGGCCAACTACAAGAAACGTCGGACCTCTGTGATTGCCAACAAGGGTTTTGCCACCAAGTACTAAGTCATGTTTTGCAGAGGGGTCAAATACTTATTTCCCTCATTAAAATGCAAATCAATTTATGACATTTTTTACATGCGTTTTTCTGGATTTTGTTGTTGTTATTCTGTCTCTCACTGTTCAAATAAACCTACCATTACAATTATAGACTGATCATTTCTTTGTCAGTGGGCAAACGTACAAAATCAGCAGGGGATCAAATACTTTTTCCCCCCACTGTATACCTGGGCGGTGAGTACCACCTGCGAAATGGGGAAGTGAATTATTCGTTGATCACGAGCTTCAACAACAGCTATTGGGCCCGAACACTGATCGCCCTCCAAGCGCTTGGAAAAGGCAAAGACAGCCCCGACTTTTATAATCCTCATCATGGAAAACTCCACGGCGAAGAGTCATCGAAGCAAAACTCGTGGCTGCGTTCAATTACGGATTGGATACAGTCCTCTCGTGAAGCGGCGAGGCGCGAGGGAGGCGTGCTAAGGAAGAGAAGACGCTTGCGTGCTTGTTTGCCATTCCCCTGCTCGCGTTGTGCAAGCTGCGGCAAGGGTGGTCTACACGGAGGTGATGCATTCCCCCCACGGCGAGTCCAAAGTTCACCGATTCAGAACCCCCCGGCTCTCGGAATTTAAACGATACGGACGTTCTCAAACGCCCACAAATTCAAAATACTTTGCTCGCCGGCTGCCGGGGAACAAATAATAATAATACGCCGAAAATTAAACACGGCAGCGCGCAGCCCAGATGGCTTTTGGCCGCTCATCTGACTGCACTGGCTATCGATGTTTGCTATCGATGATCTGTGTTAATTATCATAATTAATCGTAATGTATATACACAATGTATAGCCTTTTGTCAATCGACTGCTAGATAAAGGCCTAAACCATTCACATTGTTTGACCATACTTCATCATAATGGTCATTGCAAAATAACGAAACGGGGGTGGAGGGGGGGAGCGAGAAAAATTGGTTCCGATATCACTTGCCGCTGGTGTAAGCCGTGGTCAGGAATCGAACTCGCGTCACCGTATTGACAGCTCCAATGCGTGAACCACACCACAATTCCACTGCAGCCCCTATTTGCCATGAGTAAGTGGAATGATACGAAATGTAACACAGCATTGTCACCGGTACAGAGATAACACGTGCTGTGGGCGTAGAGTTGTACTTAAAAAACAAACGCACAACTGCAAAGGAAGCTTGTGTGGCTCGTGAATACAGGTGGTGTGTGTGTGTGCAGAGGATACAATGCTTTATTTGAAGGATAGGGTGAAAGCTTGGGAGGTTTTGAGTAGAACGTTGTAGGAAAGTATTGTAACTGTAATTGGTAAAAAAAATAGTTTGGTACGGTTGAGACGGGAGTAGAAGATGCGGCAGGGCAGGTCACTGAGGCAGCAGTTTGAGCGACACTCAGGTTGGCGATCAGGGGGAAGACCGAGAGCCACATGGCCAGGGATAGGTGGAGGAGGAGTGCACTGTGAGAGTGAATCTAGGAGGTCAGGGGTGGACTTTGCAACAATTATAAGATGAAGCAAAATTAGATTGGTAGGCAGCAATAGCGAGGTGTGAAA